ACCATTTGGAGAAGGTCCCCGGGCATGTATTGGTAAGTTCAATTTGTTTTTTTTTTTTTAACTTCTACAGTATTCATTCATTACTTTCCTTGCAAATACAAAGTCATGCAAACTTTTTTTTTCGAGAAACTATGATTTAGATTTGCAATAATTAGATGAACATATTGTGTCTATAGAAGGGCAATTCGGAAGGATGTGGAAATACTAAAATATTATACATAATAATTCGTTAGTTAAAACTTAATTGTATAAAATACTCTTTCAGGTGAGAGACTGGGTCTGATGCAGTCACTGGCTGGTATGGCGGCGGTGCTGTCGCGCTACTCGGTTGAACCCGCGCCGGAAACCTTGCGCCATCCCATCGTAGATTCCACTTCTAATATTGTGCAAAGTGTTGTCGGTGGATTACCTTTGATGTTTAAGTTGAGATGTTAATAAGCATTACACGTTTACTTGTATAAGATTTGTTTTGTATTAAATGTATGAAATATTGTATCTCATTTGTATTTGTATTTAAACATATTGTTATATATTTAACAGTGTTATTAACACGCGTTTTTCTCTTTAAAAATACTTTATTGCTTCACTGATTTTTGTATAATTCGGTTGTTTAGGACATTACCTAATTTTATTACCTTAAAAAAATAAATATTTTTGATAGTATATTTGTTTTGAATTCTTTTCTTCTGACAAGTGGGAGATTTCCAAGACTTTGTCCTTTTATCCTTACATCTATTTTTCCTTTACTTTTTTTAACTCAATATCTTCCAAGATTAATAAAGAGCTGTAAACACCTTTATGTCACATACATATAAAGATGTCATTTTTTTTATAACAGAAGGGGGCAAACGAGCAGCGGGAACACAGAGGTGTTCAAGATGTCATACGGTAAATGTATGAGATATCTAGGTAATGGTTTGTTCGATCACTTCGTTTTGTTTTTGATAGCTTAGAAGAGATCTGAATATTTTATAATTGTTGAACATAAATGACGTTTTTACATATTCTAAGGGAGGATAACTGCAGCCATATTTTGAAAAAAGTTAGAAATTTAGAAATTTGCTTTTCTTTATCTAGATAAAAGGGCAAAAATACCTTATAAGCGAAAAATATAATTTGCATCGTTAATGGCGACTACGCTGCAACCAAAATAAATCAACTAAAGTGAATCCGCTTTCATAACAAAAATCGCCATAATGAGAATAATTTCAACGCTTTTTTAAAAATCGATTTAGGCTATATTTTGCCAAAAAACATAAAACGTTATTGTGTAGAATTGTATCAATATAATGAAAAAAGTGTTAAGGTATATTCAAATTTAAGGAAATAGCGTTCCAATTGCCCTTATCGGATAAGTCGACGTATTACTTTTACTTCTGATTTAGTTCAGTCTTCATAATATTAATTTTAATATTTCTAACAGAAGTGTAAGAATTAAAATGGATGTCCAAATTTTTCTCAATTTAGTTTCAATTCATCATGACTAGACAATATAAGCGTAAAAATAAATGCTTAGTCACAATGACTAAGTTTAAAACCAGCATGAACTGGTTTGCTTGAGGATAAGGCCCCTTACACATCTTCAGTTTTAACTATACAGAACAGACACAACATTTTAAGCTTCAAGCAAACTGTACAGTTGTCAGTTTTACCTACTCACGTAGTTAACGTTTAACTGTGCACTTCGACACTTCAGTTAAATCTGTGGCGTTAGAATTGAAGATGTATAGCGGGCTCAACCCGTGCAATCTTACTAATATTATAAATGCGAACGTTTGCATGTATGGATGGATAGAAGGGTTGATGAATCGATGGATGTTTGTTAGAAGCTGTCTCCAGAACGTCTGTATGGATCTCGCCGAAATGCATAGATGTAGACCATGGTCTGAACCAGATGGGCAACTAATGAAGTTTTTTTTATCCCGCGCGGACGGAGTCACCGACGACTGTTAGTACGTAATATTTTTAGTTTTGAATATATCTAGCTTCATTATATACAAGCTGTACTGTAATTAAAGGATATTCGTGAAACCCCTATACACGTACACACATCAAGGGTTCAAAAAAAAATCAAGGGGGTTCGCAAATTACAATATAAAAAAATTATCCTTTTATCGTACCTTTAAGCCTTTCACAGTGAAAAGTATTGCAATTTGATATGTTTTCGGTGTCATATAAATCCTCATAGACTAAAATATTTGTAAATACTGCAAATGATTAATATCTTTTGTACTTTTTCGAAAAGAAACAGCAAAAGAGTGTGAGCACTCGGTCAATAATATGTATGGACACCTGCGCTACAACGTATTAAGCAATTGATGCAACTAATGCAGTTTATAAGATGTTACATTCCGTCATTGTATCTCCAGTAAATATGACGAGTTCGTCTACATTTTTGGCGCGCTTGGTTTGGACGCACCTTAATCACAACATGTTTTCGATGTGTATATATTATTATCGTATATGTACATATTTTTATAGACGATTTTTAGTTTTCGTATATTACCTGATCTTAATTTACGCGTTTGCAGCTGATCAATACATCTAAAAGTTTTGAGAATCTTAGCTTAATTCAAGTATCTTGATTAATAATAATTAAGTACTTTGTCAAAATTATTTCTAATTTGTGTATTGTTGTTATCAATTTGTTATCGGACTTCGGGCTATATAAGCTTGCGGAGCGTTAACAACTGGCAATCTTTCCACCATGTTGACTCTGGCTGTCGTGTTCGTGTTGTGCGTCGCACTGTACCTCTACGGTACAAGAACGTTCAACTATTGGGAGAAGAGAGGAATAAAACATGACAAGCCTATACCATTTTTCGGCAACAATTCGCGTATGTACTTATGGCAGAAAAGTATGACAGAAATTGGCGTGGAAATGTACTGGAAATACCCGAAGGAAAGAGTCGTAGGATTTTATCGAGCTATGCGTCCAGAACTTGTCTTAAGAGATCCAGAAATTATAAAACGCGTCCTCGTCTCAGACTTTGGATATTTTCACATGAGAGGTATCAGTACTCACAAGACTGTTGTGGAGCCCATAGCAAAAAATCTTTTCCTTGCTGAAGGCGATCTCTGGAAGCTATTGAGGCAGCGCATGACTCCCGCTTTTACCAGCGGCAAACTGAAGGCGATGTTCCCGCTCATTGTGGAGCGTGCTGAGCGGCTGCAAACCCACGCAATCAACGCTCCACCGACTGGACGAGTTCTGGACTCTCGGGAAATAATGGCGCGGTATACTACTGATTTCATTGGTGCTTGTGGCTTCGGACTCGATATGGATTCTCTTAGTGTAGAAAATTCCTCTTTTAGACAACTCGGTATTGACATTTTTAAAGTTGAAGTCAGTCAAATTATTAAACAAATGCTTAAAGAGATGTTCCCTGAAGCATGCAAACATTTTAGAATATTTAGCAAAATAGAAAAAGACGCGTACGCCCTTGTCAAAACTATTCTGCAAAAGAGAAATTACCAACCATGCGGTAGACACGATTTCATCGATCTTCTTCTGGAAAGTAAGCAAAAAGGAAAAATGGTTGGTCAATCTATAGAATCAGTAAAGTCGAATGGCATGCCTGAAGAAGTATCTTTGGAGTTGACCGAAGAATTAATGATGGCTCAGATTGTAGTTTTCTTCGCTGCGGGATTCGAAACTTCATCTTCCTCAACCAGTTATACGCTGCATGAACTTGCATACAATCCTGAGGAACAGCGAAAAGTGCAAGAAGAAGTCGACAGAGTTTTAGCGAAATACGATAACAAGCTATGCTATGATGCGGTTTCTGAAATGACTTACTTACATTGCGCTTTCAAAGAAGGCATTCGAATGTTCCCATCGTTGGGTCACTTAGTAAGAAAATGTGCCCGCAAGTACACATTCCCCGACTTGGACCTGACTATAGACGACGGCGTTTCAATATTTATACCAGTGCAGGCGTTGCACATGGATCCGCTGTATTTCGAGGAGCCCGAGAAATTCAAGCCAGGTCGTTTCTTAACTGATTTCATTAACCCATTGACCAAACATATATATTTACCATTTGGAGAAGGTCCCCGGGCTTGTATTGGTAAGTTTAAATTGTTTGTTTTTATTTATCTTTTACAGTATTCATTCAATATTGTTTCAATGAAAATACAAAGCGATGCAAACAATTCATGTTGGAAAAACTGCTGTAAGAGGTAGAACGATATGCGGATTTTTTTTTGTTAGTCGTAGATGATATTTACTGAAACATTAGAATGAAGAAATATGATTTAGGTCTGCAATAATAAAATAAACATATTATTATCTCTATAGTATGCATGGGGGTACTTCGGAAGGTTGTGGATGTACTAGTACTAAGTAAAAGTCCTGTCGTTGGTTAAAATTAATAGGTGTAAAATATAATTCCAGGTGAGAGACTGGGTCTGATGCAGTCACTGGCTGGTCTGGCGGCGGTGCTGTCGCGCTACTCGGTTGAACCCGCGCCGGAAACCTTGCGCCATCCTAGGATCGATCCCACTTCTAATATTGTGCAAAGTGTTGTCGGTGGATTACCTTTGATGTTTAAGTTGAGAAGTAAGTAAGTATTACCCGTGTACTTTTATAAGATTTCTTTTGTATTAAATATGAAAATGGCATATGTAATTTGTATTTGATAATATTATTAAACGTTTTTCGGTTTACAAATACTCCGTATTGTTTGCTTCACTGAACTTTATATAATTCGGTTGTTGAGGGAATTAGTTAATTTTTTATTATTAGCTTTAATAAATAAATATATTTGATAATATATTTGTTTTTAATTATTTACTTTCGGTAAGCGGGAGATGTTTAAGTCCTTGTCCCTTTATCCTTACCATTTCTATTTCTTCCACTTTTTTTATCTCAATATCTACCAAGACGAGTAAAGAACTGAGGACACGTATAAACACGACTTTCTCTTTTATATAAAAGAAAGTCGTATTAGTTACACTATTTATAACTCAAGAACGGCTTGGCTTTACTGATATGGTTGAAAATTGGTGTGGAGGTAGCTTACAGGCAGAAGACGGACATAGGATACTATTTATTCATTTTTTTCCAATTTATGCCTTGAAGAGCTGTTTTTATATAATATTTAACTTACTAATATTATAAATCCGAATGTTTAGATGGATGTGATGTGATAGAATATATCTCTAGAACGGCCTAACGGTCCTCGATTAAATTTGGCATACCTACAGAACATAGTCTGAAAGAACACATAGGCTACACTAATTAAGTTTTTTTTATCTATCCGCGCGGACGGAGTCGCGGGCGACAGCTAGTTAATGTTAAATAAAAGACTCGATATATCTATATCTAAGTATGTATTGTTTTAGCCGGACTTTCTTTAAATAATTTTCACTATAAAATTTGAATTTACATTGTTTATGTAAATATTTGCTGGCAGACTGACAAATTAGTTATTTATACCAACGATATACGCGTAGACTTATATATATATTGTTGTTACTTACTAGCCTGTAAGTCTATAATGCTAATAAATAAGTAAAGTTTATATTTATTTGTAATGTCGTATAATTGTCGTACCATATTATAGATTTTAATATTAACATTCAGAAATGTGATTAGTAAAAAGGATATCCGTTTCGCTATTTAGCTGACAGTCATCGTGACAAGACAATTTAAATGTTCATAGTCATGGTGATTAAATATAAAACCATACTGAATCGGTTTGCCTGAGGGTTAAGGCTGTTACACACTTTCAGTTTGGATTGTACAAAACAATCGAACTGTGCAGTTAAAACTAAAGGTGTCTAGCGGGCATAACCCTTGTTATCTTACTTCTTACTAATAATTATAATAAATGCGAATGTTTGGATGGATAGATGGATGTTTGTTTAAAGGTATCTCCAGAACGGCTGACCAAATCTCGCTGAAATTTGCCATACATATAGAAAATAGTCGAGAAGAACACATAGGCTAATAATAATGTTTTTTTTTTAATTTCGTGCTGACGGAGTCGCGGACGACAGCTAGTACTTTTATATTTTGAAAGTACATTGAAACTTATTTCAACTGGTATGGCATTCGCTTTTCACTTATTTGTATTGATTGGTAGGGATGCAGAAATACCATAACAATCTCAAAAACCCCACACATAATAATAGTATATGTGAATGTTTACAAGAAATATTACTGAATTTCAAATCATCTAATTTTTCTATCTTTTAAAAGACCTTTAAAAGGCAAAAATGATGGTGACTGTATATAAAAATTGAGGTTACCTACTGCCGGAAAATTTCTTAGGGTTGCATGTCATGCAGCAAACAGTCATGTTGTGGTGCTAATGCATTGAGCCAGGCGGTGACAGTGGTCACCTTGAGAGCCCAACAACAATCTTATATAGACTGGACGGTTTACTCTGTCACCGTGACTGATACAATTATTACAATGACGTCATTTTGCACTTTGTATTGTGATAACAAAAATTATTTTATCAGCATGGTCATCATTTTTGTAATAAAATTATATTAAATCATTTTACAATATATTTTTGATGTTAACATTTAAATATAATTTTTGGAACGATCATTTATTCGTATTACATATAAATAAAAGAAGAAATAGACACCCTCCTACTTTTTCTGTCAAATCCAACTTTCTTTCTATTACAGTAAGTAGATTCAGCAAGTAAACGCAGATAAAGAGTGTTGGCTCCTGGAACATTCAATGGAAGAAACCGAATAGATTCCTCATTCCTCATTCCTGACTATTCATTCATTTAGGTAACAGAAGGTGACTATGGAATAGACATGCATACAAACCCACATTTATAAAAAATAACTTTCTTTCTCATTAACATAGGATATGACATCTCTGCTTTGTAAATATATATACATAAGTATATCTTGTTTCCGTAATACTTTCTTACGTTTAACTTAAAATGTTTGGAACCTCTGTCATGTTCTGCGAGAGTTGCCGAAGCGCAATTGTAAACAAACAGTTCACAAATGCAAGTTGACTTTTACATTTTATATATTTTGCAAAGATCGTCGTGGGATATCGCTGAGATTTTCAAGATGGCGGAACGAATCTATAAAGTTGACATCTGTAATTTCATGCATGTCGATTAGTCGATATGCCCGTAGGAACCGAATAGACGAGTCCTGTCGACGATTCAACGACGACCGTACGGTGCGCGAGCTATGCGATACTCGCTACGCAAGTATGCAATGTAGTCTCGAAGATTTATGCTTCCTAGACTAGGGCCTTGCTCTATGTTGTGTCATAAATTACTAGCTATAAGATATGTAATAATTATTTCATTATTAAGTAATTAGATACTTGCTTGTTTTCTATATACTACTTTCCTTTAAATATGGTTACTACTGTTTGCTTCTACGTATTAGAATAAATTGTGTAAACTTACAATCAGTTTTTATATAAAAGGCAAGGAATGACCCATCGCGATTTACAATACTTGAATACGAGAGGTAGAACGAAGTCGCCTGTTATAGTGAAGTGTTATATTTTAAACGTGATTTATAGATTTTGTTTTTGTGAGCGGCCGGAAAACAGAGTTATTAGTTAATTATTTGAATAATAACATATAATAACAAAAAAGGACTATAGAATAAATCAAAACACAAACTTCTAGACAAAGCGACTTGAAGTTTTGTACAAAGATTTCTATTATTATATGATATAAATAGACGAATAGTAACTAATTAGTAATAGTACTAAGTTAAGATATTTCTATGCTAATTCACTAAAGAACGACATTCTTGGTATTACATTCAGCAGAATTTATTGAAAATTGATAGAGCCACCTTTTAATACGAATATTGAAATTAAAAAACGGGCTTTTTTAAAATTCAATCCTGCACGCGGGCGAAGTCGGGGGTTGCAGCTAGCCATTGCTGAACAATGCAATGGATATGTAATATAAATTTACAGTGCATTTTTTTTGGTATAATAATTATGTGATTGATAACAAAAACCGAGGGATAAAAATAATTTAAAAATCAAAAAGTATTTTTTGGGAGAATTTAACAGTCATAAAAATGTTATCTTTTTTCGTATGAGTAATTGAATGATACCTCTGTTATCATCAAAGTTATTAAAATTTCTTATCATCTCTATATCGGTTTGCGTTAAACATATAAATTTCCAATCTATTAACATATTCGCATAAGTAAATGTGATCATGTTAGCCGTAGCCCTCATAGCCGTGGGTGTTGTCGCCCTCTACCTGTACGGAACAAGAACATTCAGATATTGGGAGAAGAGAGGAATTAAACATGACAGGCCTATACCATTTTTCGGCAACAACTGGCCGATGTACTCGAGAATGAAAAGCATGTCACAAGTGGCTACTGAACTGTATTGGAAGTATCCGAAAGAAAGGCTCGTGGGCTTTTACCGATCAACACGACCGGAATTATTGATTAGAGATGCGAAGCTCGTGAAACAAATCCTTGTAACTGACTTTAGCTATTTTAATATGAGGGGTTTAAATACTCATAAAACTATTGTGGAGCCGCTGTCAAAAAATCTGTTCTTTGCTGATGGCGACGTTTGGAAGTTGTTGCGACAACGCATGACGCCTGCATTCACAAGCGGAAAGCTGAAGGCGATGTTTCCACTCATCATAGAACGGGCTGAGCGCTTGCAGAATAATGCAATAAATGTACCGCCAACTGGAAGTGTCCTGGACTCCCGAGAAATAATGGCGCGGTACACGACCGATTTCATAGGAGCAGTCGGGTTCGGTCTTGATTCAGATTCATTAAGTGAAGAAGATTCAGCTTTTAGAAAACTCGGTGTAGAAATATTTAAATTTGACGTTAGTCAACAAATAATACAAATGCTCAAGGAAATGTTTCCAGAAACATGCAAGCATTTAAAAATTTTGAAAAAAATTGAAAATGATGTATTCGCTCTAGTCCACAGTATACTCCAAAAGAGAAATTATAAGCCATGTGGCAGAAACGATTTCATCGACCTACTGCTAGAATGTAAGAAAAAAGGTAACATGGTCGGTGAATCTATAGAAATAACAAAACCTGATGGTACACCTGAAGAAGTATCGATAGAACTATCTGAAGCTCTGATGGTCGCTCAAGTGTTTGTATTCTTTGCTGCTGGTTTCGAAACTTCCGCCTCCTCTACAAGTTACACTCTACATGAACTGGCGTACAATCCACAAGAACAACTGAAAGTGCAAGAAGAAATCGATAGAGTGTTAGCGAAGTACGACAACAGATTATGCTATGATGCAGTCAATGAAATGAATTATTTACGATGCGCTTTTAAAGAAGGTATCCGAATGTTTCCCTCGTTGGGCTATTTGGTGAGGAAGTGTGCTCGGAAGTATACATTCCCTGACATGGACCTAACGATAGACGAGGGAGTTTCAATTGTTATTCCTGTACAAGCCATGCATAAAGACCCCCAATTCTTTGAGAAACCGGAAGAGTTCCGGCCTGAACGCTTTTTAACTGACTTCACCAATCCATTGACGAAACATATATATTTGCCTTTCGGTGAAGGTCCTCGAGCTTGCATTGGTAAGGTTAATTTAAAGGTATATTAGGCATTTCCATCTTATATTTTAATGATTTTCTGACTATGCTGAGCGAAACTTTAGATATAGACTAACTCAATTTTAACAAATGAGGTGTAATTCAATTCGTTGTCTTCTCCAGAGTGTCATAGGGTATATTATATTGGCAACAAATACATTTAGGCGACGTGAGGTATATCTTATGTACGATATTTTAGAGAATATTCTTATTAAAAAAAAAGCGTTACATGCTACATTACAGCTTAGTTTGTTAAAATTAAAAGAAGTTAACATTTTTATTTTAAAACTATTCAACAAAACAACCTATTTCATTCTTCAGAAATGCAGTTAGTCGGATTTTTTGGAGTTTTAAAGCGTTTGGCTAGGTTATTGTAATAATTATTTTAGAAATGTTAGAATTAAAATGTTATATAAAAATTCCAGGTGAAAGATTGGGTCTGATGCAGTCACTGGCTGGTCTGGCGGCGGTGCTGTCGCGCTACTCGGTTGAACCCGCGCCGCAATCGCTGCGCCATCCCATCGTAGATCCCACTTCTAATATTGTGCAAAGTGTTGTCGGTGGAATACCTTTATTGTTCCGTCCGAGGGACAGTTTAAATAACAACTAATTATGGAGCTTACAGGACTTCTACACACTTTCGATATTGACATGTTAAAAATAAAAATAAATATTAATTACTGAATTGGGAAGTTGTTAATGTTATTTTGATGTGTTAGACGATACTCGGACCTCCATAGCTATCGTTTAAGCCCAAAGTATTATACGACCCGTGATTTAATATTATAAAGTTATATAGCTATTTGTAAAAAGCATATTTTCGACTAAAATTGGCCCTTACAGTTGTGATTAGAGTGGTAATATTTTTCTTGAGTATTATAATTGGGCTTTCGTAACTGTCATAAGAACAAAAAAATATTGTATTTATATTTACTTTCAATTACATTTATTTATTTCTTTCTCCAACTATGACATGATGCAATTATTTTATTAACTTCAACTTTTTTGCGAGATTACGCCCTTAATTTAATAACAATATAATATTTATACAAAATGCATGAAAATTAAATTATATTATATTTTAATTATAAGAAAAAATGAATAATACGTAATCATTATTATGTTTAACTCAGCAATGATAAAGTTAATAATAAATTATTATTTAAAAAAAATCCTGTAAGACATGAACAATACAAACAAACAATACATTTGAGAAACAAAATATTACCAGTCATTTTATGTATACAACAAAATAGTACGAGAGAAGGGGGGAGGGCGGTCAGTAGATCAGAGAGTAGACCATTGCGACTCTTTGTGAAAAAAAAATGTGCGGAAACTTAGATTAGGAATACCAAATGATTGTTATTGCTAATCGAAGGGAAAAATATTATTATTACGAGCGTTATCTTTGTGTTTGTGCACACGCACACTGAAAGATATATTTATTTCAATCAACTAAAAATAATAAGTTTAGTTTAGATTATTTATCAATTTTGTTTTGCATAGGAAAGATAAAGTTAGAGCCGTTTCTGATTTCCGGTTATATTTCTAATCTACATTATACCTGAAAGATAATATTTTAATCCAATCAGACAAAACAGAGCCCGTAACTAAACTATGTGGTAAAGACATCTCGAAACAATACGGCAACAAAGAAAAAAGACCACCTTGATCTAAACTTCTCCGCTGGATCTATTTTAGTACTGTATCACAGTTGTTACAGTTGTCAAGTTTGACACGCTCACTGGTGTCACTGCACTGACATTTTATAAAAAAAATCATAAAATAAGCTTCCTCTGTTATTAAATAAAATCATCATTAGCTCACTATACTTCCCTTCTGAGGGGTTCGGAGCCTAACCTGAGTTAGTTGTAACTAGGTCATAGTCAAGCGCTGGCCCAGTGCATGTTGACTTCATACATATATTTGTGTTGCTTTGAAGATATGTGTAGGTTGCATCACGATGTTTTCCTTCATGGTAAGAACTTCGGAAAAAAGTAGCACAACCTTATAAGGGCGCGCGTTCCTTCTCAACCAAGTATTCGTCTATTGATGTCTCTAGTCAAATCTATATCCATCCACCGCTTCGTACCATTAACATTCTTATATTTAGTAAATTGAGCCTCATAATAATTTGAGTGTCAACACTATTGACACCTTCTACAAATATATTTATCATACAAATTCTTGCCTCTGATACGAACGATTATTATCAATATTATCAATGTGTTTATATTATATTATATACAAATAATGTATTCCTGATACCATTATTATTTAAATCAACATTTTTATTATTTTGAGACATTTAGTTACACGTGCTTCTGACTATTTATTTACAGACTAGCTGTTGCCCTTTCGTTCGCGGGGAATTTAGAAAAGTATATAGCCTATGTGTTCTCAGACTATATTTCTATTTATACATTTATGCCAAATTTCAGCAAGACCCGTTGAAACGTTTTGGAGATACCTGCTAACAAACAAACATCCACCTATCTAAACTTAGGCGAAGCCTGTCAAAAGGCAAGGAGCGACGCATACAAAGGGTGTAAGAAGTTTATCGTAAAATATATTAGGCTTCGATCATGTAATCGTTGAAATAAAAAATAAAACAAAATTCTATACTAACATTTTATCATAGTATATGTTTCACGTTACTCTCGGTCTAAACAATAAAGGCAAGCCTCCAACAACACTTTGCACTATATTAGAAGAAGGGTCGATCCTAGGATGGTGCAGCGATTGCGGCGCGGGTTCAACCGAGTAGCGTGACAGCACCGCCGCCAGACCAGCCAGTGACTGCATCAGACCCAGTCTCTCTCCTGGAATCACATTAGAATTTCATTTTTTTTTACAATTTACAAGCAATCTGTATGGCGATAATTCGTTATGTATCGTCTCTAGTACTATGTGACTGCGTCTATGAAGGAGTTTACTATTCGATAAGAATAAAAGTCCGGTATTGGGTACTGACACTACAAAAATTATAAAAATTAAACACATGAAACCTACCTACGCATGCTCTAGGCCCTGATCCAAATGGCAAATATACGTTTTTTGTCATTGGATTAATGAAATCACACAAAAATCGTTCTGGCTTAAACATTTCTGGGTCATCAAAAAATTGCGGATCCATGTGAAACGCTTGCACAGGGATCAATACCGCTACACCCTCGTCTATCGTGAGATCCGACCCCGGGAATGTGTACCGACTAGCACACTTTCTTATCAGAAAGCCTAAGGACGGAAACATTCGTAGTGCTTCTTTAAAGACGCAATGTAAATAATTTAATTCATTCACTGCGTCGTAACAAAGCTTATTATTGTACTTTGATAATACGCTGTCGATTTCTTCTTGCACTTCTTTCTGCACCTCAGGATGGTATGCCAGCTGATGTAATGTAAAACTCGTAGCGGAAGATGATGTTTCGAAGCCCGCTGCAAAGAACACAAACACTTGAGCGGCCATGAGGAAATCGTCCATATCCAACGACACTTCTTGAGGACTTCCGTCAGTTTTTCTCTTCTCTATAGACTCTCCTACCATTTTGCCTTTTCTTCGACATTCTAGGAGTAGGTCTATAAAATCGTTTCGATCAGAAGGTTCATAATTTCTTTCTTTAACAATGCTCTGAACTAAAGAGATGACATCTTTTTCAACTTTTCCAAGAACTTTAAGATGTTTGCATATCTCGGGAAACATTTCCTTCGACATTTGAATAAAAATGTCAAGAACCCTAGTTTGAAATATTTTAGCACCGAGTCTTCTAAACGCAGATTCTTCCGTATTGAGGGAATTAGCGTCAAGGCCGAAGCCGCAAGCGCCGATGAAGTCCGTGGTGTAGCGCGCCATCAGTTCGCGGGAGTCCAGCACGCGCCCAGCCGGTGGTGCGTTGATCGCATTATCCACCAGGCGCTCGGCGCGCTCCACAATGAGCGGAAACATCGTTTTCAATTTTCCGCTCGTGAAGGCAGGACTTAGACGTTGTCTTAATAATTTCCACAAGTCGCCGTCAGCAAAAAATAGGTTTCTGAGCAGAGGCTCGACAACAGTTTTATGGGTATTGAGACCCCTCGGATAGAAATGCGCGAAATCAGTTATGAGGATACGCTTTACAAAGTCTGGATTCCTTACAATTAATTCGGGGTTCGAGGCTCCGTAATTTCCCACGACTTTTTCATTTGGATATTTCCAGTAAAGTTCGGTACACATTTGCGTTACACTTTTCTTCATTAAGTATAAAGGCATACTGTTGCCGAAGAATGGTACAGGTTTGTCATGTTTGATTCCTTTGTTCTCCCAATATTTAAAGGTCCTTGTACCGTACCAGTACAATGCACAAAGTACAACAAGGGCCAGAGCTATCGTAAACATTTCTCAACGCGCAAATTTCGTCGTGTCGACAGGAAAGTCGACAAATATGTGACATAAAAGCCGGTGCGAGGAGATAAGAACTATTCACGTTGATAAACTACGATAACATTGTTCACTTCTTAATACTAATTAAACAAAACAATAATTAACAATTTAATTCACAGATACAGTGGGAAATTTGGGTTTTACTAGAGTGTGACCTTGCACCCTATATAACTCTCCATAGAAAGCCCACAGAGCCGCTGGATCTCTCAAGAAGTCTTTATGCTGTCGGAGGAACGTAAGAAGACTCCTCAAAAACTTTCTTTTATCGCAGGAAAGATAACTAATCTTCAGAATGATGTTAGAGATGTTCGTGCTACTTACATCGTCCCTTTCTTAACACCTCAACGCATCATGCTTTTTACCAATGTTTGAAAAAAAAGTTATATTTTGTATCAATAAAATCTATTTAAAGAAGAACATAATAATATTTGTCTGCAGACAATAATTACATTGTTTATTGACTATTTTTGTTCGTCTCAGACAAACGTATCGGATAAAATTTGCAATCACATAACACAATGTAAACTGTGGCCGATAAGATTTTATATAAAAGTGTTTATCTGTAATAATATGATGACCTAACCGTACAACTCCACTGCCGTTATACATGTAGGTATTAATGACTTCAGTCATCTGCTTTACGCTCTTTGATAAAATAGACTTGAAAATAAATGAACAAGTTTGAATGGATGTTTGTTAGAAGGTATCTGTTTAACGGCTTAACGATGTAGAAATTGCAAAGAATATGGAGAAACCGCGACGTTACAAAAGCGACTAAAACTCGGCTTGTACGATCGCTTGTATTCTCCATATTCCTTTATGCGTCCGAAACGTGGACCCTACGAGAGAGTGAGAAAAAGAAGATAGACGCACTCGAGATGCGGTGCTGGAGAAGAATGCTGACTGAATGAAACCTTGGACCGCATTCCGGACAAACAAGTCAATCCTCGAAGAACTCGGCATCAAGCAGCGTCTGTCATGCATTGTTCGGGTTCGCATACTCACTTTTTTTGGTCACGTCTGTAGACGTGATGACGAATCCATCGAGCGCGTGGTGGTGCAGGGGAAAGTTGAGGGCAATAGACCACGAGGAAGATCGCCTATGAGGTGGACCGACCAAATCAGATCGGCTGTGGATGTCCCCCTGCACCAATGTACAAAAAAGGCAGCGACTAAGGAGGAGTGGCGGCGCCTAGTAAAGCGGGTCACTGATACGTGATGACCACGACCAGTCTGACAAGACTGCAACGACGAAGAAGAAGAAGAACATCATTTAAAGGAACACAGAGGCTACTAATTAAGTTTTTTATATTTACTCCGATGAAGTCGCTGTCGACAGGTAGGAATAAAATAAAGATAACAAAGCACCCTAGACAGCCGTAACGACACTATCGGCTAACAGACATATTTGTTATTTTTATTGCCCCAAATCCAAACTAAGTCATCGTGACTAAATAATATTGCTCTACTAAATGTCCAAAGGTCGTGGAGCGGTGTGCAAATATCACAGCTTACGATAGATAAGTTCATAACAACACACGGGGTGATAAAAGATAATGACCAACTAAATGATGACCACTTGTCACTGCAAAATTGTGTAAACCCACTGACCTAAAACACATGGATTTATGTTTATTTAAATTTCGCCATTTTATAATCTTCTGATCGGCGAAACGGGTAGACGAAAATGAAAAAAAAAAAACAAAAAACATTGAACCCTAGGAAAGCGCAAAAGGAAAAGAAGCGTAAAGCTTTTAGATCTCAGGAAATAAACATTTATAATGTGGTGCAAGACAAGCTTTACAAAAGCAGGCCCACGTTAGGTGGGAGGGAGGGGGTTGTAAAAGGCGTTAGATAGCCTTCGTTAAGATTGCGCACCGAATTACAGCAGGCGCTCTAACTTTGTATCATTTTCAAATCATGGCAACCGTTTGTATCCTGACACAACAACTTCTTGTACACATTTTAATAGTATGCAATTACAGCAGATTACATAATAAATCACTGCTTCGAAGATGACTATACACTTGCTAGACGTTCAATTATTGGCGGTGCCTCAAAAGCTACTTCTACAGAAATATTGCTATTATAAATTGAAAGTGGAACATGCATAAAATGTATAGAGGTGAATGATCTTGTTAGTAAATACTTTAATATTACTCATTTAAACTTTTCGTGAATTTTATATAAAAAAACGTATGAAATATCATGTTGCAACAAAAAAATTGAAAGGGCCTAGATATAAGGAGACATTCATTACAACTTACATTGAACACTTAGGTACATCCATTGTCCTCTCGGTCACAGATTGCCGCAGAGAGATATGAACCCATATATTGTCGGTAAGTAGGGTCTGCGTCGACGTCGACGTGTGACTGATATTTCGGCGCTCGCCACCACGAGCCGTTGCCGCTGCCGCTCTTCAACTAAATTTATGTCCGCACACGTAGCCCTTTTACATCGCCACCTGACGCTGATGAGGTTCTATCTTGTTTAAAATGAAATAGCCACATTCTATAACATTATTTAATTACTTTGTTCTAAATATTATCATCGTACTTTTTTCTGCGTTTTGTTATACGGATAAATATTTATTAACAAAGATATCAAGCTTCTAGATAATCTAGTCAGTTAAATCGCAGATAAGAAATATAAGTTTTTTTAAAGTAGATAAAGTTAAAATGTTTTAAATAACACACTTTTAGCATGATCTTCTTTGTTATAAAGTAAAATATTAATTACAAGACGGGTGTTTTATATCTTTCTGTTACCTGTTATAGATAGTGATGGAACATTTATCGATGAACGAAAACTAGGTAAGTTTTTATGGACAGGTGTCGGGTGAGTAATGATCTGTACGCCGCCGTCGCGCCGTTGTCAATCGCTATTCAAGTGATAAACGACCACAAGCACATCACTAAAATGTGTTCGTCACTAAAACATTTACAGAATGAGTTTACATCATACTGATAATGTAAAAGATAACTAAAAGCAATGTCACTAATAGATCTGTTATTTGATTGTGTACTAAGCCCCGGATAGACGTGTTTGTGTGTTTGTAGCTGGTACACTTGCATGCAAGCTACTTGCACTGTAACTGGCATGCAAGTAGTTGGCACAACTATTGATTTTGTGACGGTTACTGGCGTGTAATTGGAGAGAGGGTACGAGAAGGCTACGAAAACGAACTTCGAACATTTTCTTATGTTTGTAATAAAATTAATATCAATGAATTTAAAATAACTCAATGAGTTACCGATCTGATTTTTGTGCATAACAAATGGTGTTCCATTTTTAATACCTTTCTTTTTAATTAGTGAACCCAGGCCGTTGTAAATGTAGGGTTCGTGTGAAGGCATAAATTACATGGATAGCGGCTGACCGAGGCCGGGGCTGCGGCGCGGCGCAGCGGCCCTACTGCCACCTGCAAAATGAACATAATATAATTTAGTAAAGTTGGATACCTATCAATACCCTTATTTGTATACATACCTTTGTTCTATGAACGTTCTAATAAAACTTAAAATCTGACAATCATACATTATTAAAGAAGAACAACTGACGCAACAAAAGTCGTTAATTGTAGATTTCGAAATTACAGTCTTTCTTTTTGACCGATTAACGGCATTGTGTGCAACAAAAAACCAACATCAATTGCTTCATAAAACTTTTACGAAAGAAGTGTATTCATTTTTAATGCAAGTAAGAGAGAACGCGCCTCGCATTAATTTCGCTGAACTCGAGAGAAATGCCGCGTGTTTGTGTTCATCTCAGTTCCGACACGTTCACGTTTTACACTCCATTAGGAACTGCTGCAGACGTCCCCGAAAAACTTTTACCTAATAATGTTTCAAGTTTTGCACAAAATGCACTCACAGTTTCCAAGTATTTTGCGCAATTCGCTCAGATTTTACACTTCTCTCGCAATCTACGTACACATGTATTGACATAGCAAATTGTTGCTAGTGTTTTCTTTTCTATTTGAGTGTAACGAAAGTAGCGGAGATGAAAAATAGTCTCTCAATATTATCTCTTATATAAAATTATTTTAACATCTACATTATTTAATTTACCACAAAACAAACAATTTAATTATTGTTTAACTACAATTTGATGACAAGTAGGTTTTTTAGACATTGAGCACAGTTAACCATTTTGATAACCTTTGTTAGTTTTCAATCAGTTTTTTAAATTTATTTTCCGTTATCTGATCGTTCAAAGGGGACAAGACTTTGCAGCGGTGACGGCGAGGGCGGACTATAGAGGAGTACATACAAAGGCAGTTGTCTGCATCTAACATTCGATTGCCTTCGTCTAAGGCGATATATTTTAGATTCTATCTCTTTGTCAACTTTATACTAAACTCCTTATATTCCCTCCTCCTAGAAAACGAAATATAGGTCATTAAAAATAGTAAATTTATTATAATATTTTTGAATGAAAACCATTGTTTGGCATTAAAAAGAAAAATAATAACGTTACAATTTTTACACGTGGTTTTAATTTTTCTTGTGTTCATGGAATAAAGAATGCGCTTTCATAATTCATATTTAGAGCGCGAACTTCGTCTAGTCTGCATTATCGAAATTTTTCTCTAACTTCAGCACTTCTTATAAACTAATTTGAGAATGTAATCCACACGAACAAAGTTTAAAAAAGAACATTTAAAAAATTTGGTATATTCTTGCTCGTAACGCTTTGCTGGATTAGTATCATACTAGTGAATATTCAACCTTAATTTAAAAGAAACCAAGGACACCGGCTGACCATGGCTCTAATAGATGAAATAACGCCATCTATTGCCTGCGTTTACAAATAAATACTTTAAATTGTAGTGTTATTTCGGACAGAGTAAATATACAGAAATAATTTCGAAGTTTAAAAATTTGCGTAACTAAATATATATTTTTTGTAACACAAAAAAATGTTCTATCGGAACAAATTTCGCGTGTGGCCCAGTGCGTTAGTATTGCGCTCAACCGAATAAAAGTTATTGACAGAGCAGCGCAACGCTTTTTACATTTTTTCCGGTTTAAAATGGTAAATAAAACTAGTCAATATCCATTTAATATTTTTTTGTGAAGGTTGCAGCTTTGGTTAAATTTGTTGATAAAACTTTAGCAGAGTTCTCTGTAGAGACCTGACAATGTTATTGCAAAAAAAACCTTTCTGTAACACAAAAAAATAAATGAACTTTTTAAAACATTTCATTTATTTAATTTTACGTGGCATTACAACAAATAACAACCAGTACCAAATAAGTATTAACGTGTAAAAAATAATAGAAAAATGTTTGAAAAAAGAAATTGGTCCATTCGGGCGGCAGTGTGGGTACTTCAATAAATATTAGATTACGCGGGAGCGAGCGTTATTAAGACGAATGACACGCTTTTATGGCGCCAGGACATTCATGAAAATATATGAATATTAAACTTCCTTTAGGGAATACTAAATCTTATAATATAGAGATTTTTTTAAAGACTCCTACAGCTACTAGAAAAACATAATACCTAGACAAAAGACAAAAACGCACTTACGATTTTTATATTTTTGCATATGTTAAAGTCTCGTATTAATTCCTAGTTTATTTAAAGAGCTTAAAGTGTATAATATAAACTGCTACTAAATTATTCAAACCAATATAAATGAAGGGACACAACGTGTTCGTTTACATTTATAAAATATTCATGTGACAACACTGATTTTATCGGAAGCAATAATTTGTGTTAATGCTTTATGAATGATAGTATTTATCATAAAATCACAATTATTTTTTGTTCTATTTAGCCAAATGAAATAATATAAACATTTTCAAATCTGATACTAAATTCTAAGTCGAAGTTAAGGGATGCCAGTATGATATCATACAAGTATTTCTGCGGTGGAGACACACTGTAACATCGTGATTTGCAGTGGCGTGTCGTAAAGCGTGGACTTCTGCAGCGGCGCTCGGATTACGCGGGAGCAGAAGAGTAGTAGACAGTGTAGTACTGCCATTGTTTGAACGCACACTGCGATGTAGAACAATAGCAGTACTGCACTGTCATACTGCACTACAACACTGATGTGACCCATTGTAGAAGTTAGTTGCAGTGGTTGCATATTTATGAGATTAGCGCTCGGGTCGAGTCCTCGCAGAGACCTATTCATTTGATGCACCGTATATTCCGCTCATCCCGATTTCGTTTAAAGCTCAATATATCAGAATGATATAGGAATACGTTTACTTTTACAATCAGTTTGAATAGATTATCAAATTTTATTAATTTTGACTATTTTAAATATACGTTAACGCTCCATTAAAATTATTAAATTTAATTAATATAATGAATGTAAACTGTAGATAAAATAAGATATAGATAAGGTAACTATACTCGTATAATTACACATATGTATTTGTGATTTCCAAAACAAATTGATGTTTTTATCTGATATTAACTGTCATGATGATTGATTCAAGTAATTCCAAAATATACATATTATTATTCTGTTCTGAATAAAAATAAACGCAGAATGAACGATATCAAACCTATGAAATGAATTTAATAGAGAGAACGCAAATACACGGTTTAAAATTTCTCTCCAAATCAAAGCATCGGTAAAATATTACATTATATAATTAATTTAATAGTGTAGAAGAGATTTTAATGTTTTTTTTTGTGATTTTAACAGCTGGTTCTGGGCGTTGCTGCTAATAACTTACGTAATATGTTGCATTCTCCTCCTCTACGTATGGATGGATCGTTTTTTAAAAGACCCGACATACATTGTTCTATTACAACCTCATAAAAGTAAAAACCTGTTTCCTGCAGTGATAGTATGTCCAGAAATAGCGTTCCCGAACGATAAAATAGAAAAATTCATTAAAAATCTGTGAGTACATTTTACATTTCTCAAACTTCATTTGTTTCTGGATCGAGAACGGATTTATCAAATTATGTGCACATTTGCTGCATTTTACCAAAAATATAAACGGTAATTCTTTACAGTGTTTATCCTCGCAATAACACAGAAGAATATTTACGAGCACATATACAGCAGTTGGCAGCATTTTTTTCTCCGGACGTGTTCTATAGATTGGATGATTTGGAAATCATTGAGAACGTTCTAGATTACAACAAAGTGGATGTAGAGACAGCAGGACTGAATCTGACGGCTTCTTGTGAAGAATCTATATCACGGTATTATATTTTGAACACTTAAATAATAATCAAGTAGTTAGTGTAAGCTTAGTTTCTTTTAATATTTGTCATAAACTTACCTAAGTATTATTTTTTGTAACCGTACTTTTTTTAAATAACTCGCGCTAGGATAGAATATGGGTGGCGTCAATAGTCAAATGGTGGGATTCGAACAGAATACTGCTAGATCGGTAATCTGGACCTTTTAACCACTAACCATGATATTATATCAGCTTTGTTTCTTGTTCGTTGTGCTACTGAAAATTCGCAGATGTCGTTGGGGTGGCCATTTTCTAAATTGTACGAAACTTTTCAAAATGGTTTTGACGACTTATGGATTTTGCTGCATGTTTAATGGCCGTTATTTGAAAAGGTATGTTTAATTTCAACCATCATCTTGAACTTTTAAATTTCAAGCTAACGAAGTCGAGGGCGACCGTTGTAATTCTATAAAATTGCACTATGACGTGGAATGTTGGCTTTATCTATCTATCTATTCCATTTGTTAAATCCAAAAGACTCAACGTTGAAATGTTCTTAATTTGAAATAGAAATAAATATAACGATCTTTTTTTTGATCCGATATTCTTAGATCGTATTGATAAGAAGTGCATTAATTTTAAGGGACTTGACCGAATTAGAATCGGTGCCTGCGCCGCCCAACTACAGGATTAACAAAAACCTTGACTTCACCGGTGGTCTTATGTTAGTCGTAAACCAAAGCCTAGCTACCCCTTTCGATGTTGATATCTCCTACAAATGGGTAAGTCAAATTGACATACTCTTATTTAATTTTGAAAATAAAAGTATGACTATTATTGCGAAATGTTTTAGCTTTCCCTCCATGGCAATCAACGCTTTGTAAACCTGCCCGGCAATGGAACGCCCATAACTCCGGGCACCGAGCTGCACGCAGGGTTCATACCCAACATGCTGCGTGTTGACGAGGACGCTGCCAATCTTGACAGGGACCAAAAACGATGCCGCATGAGTTATGAAGCCTTGGAATACTTTCCCGTATATCACAAGTAAATATAACGCTTTTTACACAATCAATAAACTATTGCTTGACCACGATCCAAACTGATATTAAGCGGCGATGATACGCGCATGAACATGGTACGATCATTCGAATCTCTTCGTTCGAGTTTTGAATTTCTATTAGCTGTTATTAATCCAAAGTTAGTGAGTTGCCATATGTGGATGGTGTTGTAAGGACCAACCAGTTAGCAAATAGAATAGACCCAGGCACTATAGTTACTAGCTGATTGACACGGGACAACTTAAACGGGTTTTATGTGATCGATAAAATTAGACGTAAAGTAAAGGTTTTTTCTAAAGCCATAAATCCTTAGTTTAACCCGTAGAGTAATGATGGCATTTATCCCAGACAACACTGCCTGATGGAGATCGAAATGAGGAGAACTATAGAGCTCTGCGGATGTCTGAAACTGGGACACCTGCACGTGCCTGGTGTGCCCGTGTGCCGCGCGCGCAGTTTGCAGTGCGCTAGGCTGGCGTCAGGTAAGCAGGATTTTAATTACACTATAACTATATCTATCTATTTATGTAAAAGACATTAGATATATATCTGAGTTAAATTTACGGATTTTCATAACCGAAATTGTTATTGTGTACACAAGCTTCAGCAGTGGGAACTAGTTGTTATTTAGCAAATTTTGATGTCTTTTTCAGTGTCTTTCGGAAAATTCAACTCCAACTGTCCAGTGACTTGCGATGCAGATGCGATGGATTATTTCACAACCTCATCCTACGATCTGAATGGAAATATTTCACCTAATGATGATTTTTAGTGAGTGAAAATATTAAAAGGTTCTTAACGATGTCTGTGGAAGTTTGTATTTAATATAGATGTTTCTATTAACAGTGCTGACTTGGATTTCACCAAGGTCAGTATACTCAGAATATATGTAAGACACCGGCACAAGGTGTTGCTGAGAAAATCTTACTTCACTAATTTTGAACTTTTTGGTAAGTATTATATTAGTAGTGTAAATATATTATATTTACAAATTGACTTTTTGATTTTTTTGTCAAATCGAACAACATGACTTAGCAAATTAACAATTAGATTAATTTCCTTAATAATTCGTCTTTGATTAATAAGATCATTCATATATTTTGTACTACATAGATAGACTAGATTCACAATAATACTGTCTTATTTCCTTATGATAATATTTATTTTAAGTATAGATTTTTATATTCATTTTATAGTGTTTACACTTACATCGCTTTATTTCGTGTTCTTAATATATTTACTTTTCAGCGCAACTCGGAGGACTTTTCAGCGTGTTTTTCGGTTGCAGCGTCCTGTCTATATGGGAACTAGTCATGTTGCTATGGCGTGCTGCGAGCACAAAGATTGCATCTATTAATCGTAAATGAAATTGTTTTAAAAAGAGAATCAAAATATTTTTAACATAGCACTATTCAATGCACTCCGGACAATGAGACGATGTGAGATTTGATGCATCAAAATTTCAATTTATTTTCCTCTAACTTACCTTAAGAAGTAGTTACTCGTAACTTGAAGTACTTCATCAATCGGCTGTCATTGTGCCTGCAATGTCGAGGAGGTTTGACGTGTAGCCATTTGTTACCTGACACTGAAACAATACAGTTCCACACTGAGCACCTTATCATTAATCAATTGTCTACTTTTTCGCAAATAGATCTTTTAAGTAATTCGAATGCTTCATAAAAATAGCTCGCGATTCTTGTGCTAAGTAAACTTACTTACTTATTACCTATCAGAGAAGTTGTTTAAATGCAATCGTCCAATAATAATAGTCATTAAGAGCAAAAAAATTCTGTGAAAAATGAAACGATATATCGGAGTGAAGTAGGTTGCAAGACAATGCAAACGTAGCGGTCTCGGTCTCTGAACAACAAAACTGCATAAAGCATAGAACGGACAATAGACAGCAGAAGCAATGGATATGTCCATCGGACGGCCTCACCGCGCTGACAAGCCGCTACTGCTTTTCCTTTGCACTTCCGAAAATGCTTTGATATTAAATATTTTCACTGCATTTCAAAAGAAACTTTTGAAAAGCAAGAAAAAAATTATTTTCAAAAATCCGCGTACAAGTAAATTATTTATATTCTTGGTATGTACATAACTTGTTATTTTTCTATGATCATGAAAGACATAATATTATTATGTACTGAGTAAAATTGTCATAAGGAAACTTCTCGTCTTTGTGTAAGTCAAGCTTAATTAGAAGATTTACTGATTAGTCCATCATGCTCCGCGAAATACGTTCGCGTTGACTCCGTCGACGACGCCGCGAGCTCTGCGGACTGCGGAAGAACAAATTTGTACGATATTAACTTTCTGATGTTTTATTAAAATTTTATTTTGTAGTACAACTTAATTCGAAGTGATTTTTATTGCGCCCCAAAGTTTTATAAATCATGTTGCCGTTTTAAACATATGTATATGTATGTATTATAATCAGCAAAGCGCCCTCTAACGGAAAGCCTGACAAACATATCATAACCGCACTAAATAATATCTGTGTGACATTTTCGTAACTTTAAGTAAATAGTAACATAAAAAAATGAAATGGCATATGCACTTATGTTTTGTCCATTAGTAGCATGTGTTACACTTGTGAATAATACAAGAAACGTGTCAAACCTCAACACCACGTAATCCATAGCGAAGCTGACACTCCGGGTAAATCTCCTTCAATCAAAGGAGATTAAACAAGTAAACAAGCCGTGGCTCCGCTAAAACCGACGGATTATGGTACAACGGTGTCAGAATATCTGAGCTGGAACGAGGTATTACAGCTTTTGGAAACATAAATGCATGACAAAATTATATCGCTAAACAAGAAATGAGAAGGCGATTAAAAACCTGAGGCATCCTAAGCAAAGCAATCATATGATTCCTCGAAACATCCTATCATATATTATACTTTAGCTTCTTTGGAAGTCTGTTATTTAATTTAAACTTTCGTGAGTTATTTTGGCCGGAAATGAATATTCCTGTTGGAATTATGTTGATTTCCCTTGCGCTTTTACGATGTTTTCCTTAACGGTCCCATTTTCACGTTAAGTTCACAAGAGAAGGTTCAAAGCAATCTTTATATCTTCGGAAAATTGTGCTTTATATTGATTAACAGCAAAAATGTATCATTGGCCATTTCAGGCCTTTGACCTGAACTGGTTCAGATCTGATTTGTACTTGTCTATATAAATTCCAATGAAACTAACATACAGTCGATTAGAAGGGACAACTCAATTAACCCTTTTTCTCTCACCCTCGACATGTAGCCAGCTGTGTGTACAGCCAACCTTACGATAATCAATCCCTTCACATGTTTAGCTTTTACATACCTGCCTTTTATACAAATTAAATTGTTGCATTAATTGATTTCCTGTAAAAGTATACGATCTTATTATATTTTATTTTGTATATTTTAGGTTTGATCACATTTTTTAATTTTCATTATTAAATATTATTTTATTACTATGTAATACGCAAGTGAAGCAATGATATTCTTTCGATGTTTGCGTGTGTAGGCCAAGAGTTTAAAGTAGCTCTTTTTTGCTGACGCTTCTTCATCTTGTCGATTAGAGAGAACATTTTTTGCGGACAGTGTTGGTGGCGCGGTGTGCAGTTGTGGGGCGTGGGGTGTGGAGGGGGAGGGCGGAGAGGAGTATATGCGGCTGAGTTGGGTTGACACGTGATTGATGCTGCGGCGCACAACGCCATCCATCTCGTTCGCTTGTTGAATAATTTACGTGGTTATGTACGTGTTGTTGATCATTTGAGTATGTGAAGAAGTTGTTACAGGCTTCTTTACCTTTTTATTATTAGTAACAGGGGGTAAGTCTCTTGTATAGATTTTGAGCGATAAACAGAGAAATGTAGGTAGTGGCCGTGCACAACATTAAATGCTGTATTTAAATTATAATTTTTAACTTCATCTTAACGCCATCTAGTTGCCTATTGACACAATTATCATACAATTCAGTAGCCAGTGGAAGTAATTGCGCTTTTCATCTGATAAGTATGCACGCAGGAAGCCTAATTCGAGTCCTTTCCCTTTTCACCCTTTCCTTGTAAGGAAGGGATGGTAAGGGGCGGTGTTTTTGGCATATGAGGATACATAGGACGCAGGGGAAATGTCTTCTTTATGTGTGCCTACGTAACATATAAATAACTAGTGTGGTTATCAGATGTGGTGTTCAGATGTTAAAATCCATGAATATAATTTACACTTTATTAATGAAAAAAAAATCAAAGTAAAGAGAATAGAATAAAATTAAAAAATTAAAGTTCAAACTCAATAAAGTGAAAAACGAGCGGAGCTAATTGTGTTTACGAGCAAACAAAACTTTTTCTATCAACAGAATTATTTTGCTCATCTAAAAACTTTTTAATTATTGTGTTTTAATATCACTAAAAAAGTTTGCTCTTGACAGTCATTAACGCGATATTTGTTTCAAACCAGTTAGTCCGCAAAGAGCGTCGGTGGCACAGGAGTTTAAGCACTTGACTTGTAATCTACAGGTCCTGGATTCGAATCATTCCATGTACCACTGTGTTTTTCCATTTTCACTTTACATATATACAGTTATCCGACGTTCTTATGGTGAAGGAAAACATCGTGATACAATCTGCATATGCCTGCGAAGAAATTCAAATATATGTGTGAAGTCAACCAACCCTAAAACAGGGTAGGCTCCGAGCCCCTCAGTGGGAACATACAGTGAGGTGATGATGAAGTCCGCAAACTTTATTGCAATACTAAATACACCGCGAGTTAAGACCAGGCACAGGGAGAACCGTTACCTAGTGCGAGCGTGCAGATGTTATAATGCAATCTCTAAGCATACGGATACACTTAACATGTCAGTATTTAAAATCAAACGACTACTTAATGATCGTTTCTTCAGTTCTTGATTCCGATTAATTAATAAAAAAAAACATCAAGTGAATTATATTGCCTATGCAGTACCGTGTGGGACAACTTGTAATTACTTTTAAGTTTCTATTTATTTAATTATAACATTGTGAGTTAGCTGTAAGTTGTCCTGTTAAAATAAAATAAAATGGAATGAAATTAAATGAAAAACAAAACGAAACGAAACGAAAAAAATGAAATAAAATGCACTTCCCGTTTTTTTGCATGTTAATTTCAAACTATTTTATATTTTCAGAAATACAATAGCAATATTAAAACATAAAAATACAAATTATTTCAACAAAATTTAGAGAAAAACGAAAGCTATTTCCTTTTAAAAGTGAATAAATGTACATCAGATTTTTTATTTAAATCCAATAATGATAACGCAGTAATTAAAAATAATACTCCGGACAATTTTGCATCTTACTCATGTCCTACGGAGCTGACGAAAGGAAGTCTGGACGCAGGTGAAACCGCAAGCCACTGCTTGTTAATAAAAAAATATTAAAAAAAATGGAAACAATTAATTACTTAAAGCCGGTCAAAAGTCAAGAGACCAGACCTAAAATAAACTAAAATCGCGCAATGTACCAAGTTTCATTAACCTTTAAGTTCTTTACTGGTTACGGAGAAATCGGTCTTCGAAAACTTGGTTACCTAGCAAATTTTTTGTAACTTTAAAAAAATTTCGTTCCCCGTTTCTTGTAATTTTATTAAAATATTTTTGGGTATGTGTACATCAATCAAGTTAAAATATACTCAAACAACGTTAAATTCTAGATTTGCTAAATTGAAACAAAACATTTTGATTATATCGTGTAAAGAAATAATAGAAAGAATGGACAAAGGACGTAACGAACGAGGGGATTTCAAATGAAATGGAAAATTTTCGCTTTGTTATTACTCATTGCTAAATATTTTACCCTTTTTACATTTTGATATTGTCCTTTACCCTTGCTTGTTATATTTTAATTTTGTGTTAGATGTCCGTGTTCTTATAAAAATGTTTGCTTCTTTTGTGTGTTTGTATTAATTTGCAGAATATAAAGCTTAAGTAAATGATATTCTACTTGAAATGAAAAGGTCAGCTATATTTGCAAACATGGGTGCTGTATTAGTAAGCACTCGCTTTTTTATTTTATTACTTAAATCCTGAAGTGTTGCGAGATAGAAGATTATTTTTTTACTCAATCAAGCGGAAGCGAGGTCGTAATTATGTTTACGGCGCGACTCTCAACTTTTTCTATCAAAAGTTACGCTATTCACTTTTAAAGTGTTTCATAATTAATTTAAATGAAACGAAAGTGTCTTCTATTCAATACAACTTTTTTTAGATTAACTGTAGTTTAAGACTTAATGCATTTAAAAAATGCATTTTAACATTTAGGTTAAGAGATTGTATCAAAATGTTTTTTATTTGTACTTTAGATGTATAAAAAGATACATTTTGCTATAACATTTAAATACTATGTTGAACGTAGGTAGTACGTTAGCCTGCTTCGCCTGCTTCGTTGGAATTTTATTTGTTTATTAAGACATGCCAAGAGCATACATGTATAAGATAGAATAATTACAAAATTCACACAAACATTTTGGATATTTATACCAATTAAAAACATTGACACAGACTTTTGCTAACAATAAATATAATTAAGGAAATGATAATGAAAATTTAAGTAATGCTTAAATCTATATGTTAATAAAATGTTACGATATCGCATAGATTTTCAGAACAATTGTGTTAATATTGTACCATAGTATATTTAAAACGTTGAGTTTATATTCTAATATCA